ACCCTATGTTTTTACTTTCCAGTCTTTAAGCAGGGGCCTTGTGGAGAGGGGTTGCATTTGTTTATTTTGTTTTGTTTTTGGTAACTATCAATATTCTGAGTCAACACAAATGACAAATTTAGATCTACTCTCCCTCCCACTGATGACCACCTGCTCAGATTTTGCAATACAGGCTTGAAAATAAGCCTATTAATTGTGCCACTTTCTGTAAATGTGTATGTGGCTAGGACCAAGTAGAATACTGAGCATGGGCTGTGTAACCTTAATTCGTTTGTTGAAAGAATGAAGTAGAAATGAAGATAATTTTCTGTGGGGAGGCACTAGGAGCCTGGTGAGTCAGGAAAAGCTTCATGTAGGGGATGATAATTGAACTGAACTTTGAAGGAGACTAAGCATTTTAAGAGGCAAAGGTGAAGAGTGAGTGGATTTTAGGCATGGGGGCACAGCCAGTGCACAGACATGGAGGTGGGAAATGGAATTTCATGTATAACCTATAGCAAGAAGGCCAGTTTGCCTGTACTGAAGAGTATATGAAGGGGAGTAACATCTAATAAGACTGGAGAGGTAGATTGGAGCCAGGTTGTGAAGGGCTTTAAATGCCAAATAGAGGAGTTTGTATTTGATCTCAGAGGCAAGAGGCAGCCGGTGGAATTGACCAAGTAGGACTGTGACATGGTCTCACATCTTTGCTTTAGGAATGCCACTTTGGCAACTGGGTGGAGGATGGATTGGAAAGGGGAGATACTTAAGACAGAGAGACTAAATAGGAATATCTTGAGATAATTCAGGGGAGAGGTGATGAGTACCTGAACTAGAGTGCTACCCACGTGAGTAGAGAAAAGGGGATGGAGGCAGCAGATGCTGTAAACATAGTCTTGACAAGATTCATCACCTGATTGAGTATGTGGAGAGACAGACAGTAGTGAAGAGTCAAACGTGACTCTGAGATTGTAGATCTGCAAGATTCGATGATGGTGATGCCCTTTATAGAAGCAGCTAAGTGAGGAAGAAGTGTTAGGTTTGGGAGGAAAGATAATGACTTCTATTTTGGACATGTTGAATTTTAGGCACCTACAGTCTATTCAGTTCTAAATGTCTGACAAACAGTTGATGATATGGGTCTGGAGCTCAGGAAAGAGAGTAGCTTTGAATATGCACAGCTGGGAAATCTGCATAGAGATGGGAATTGAATCCATGATAGCTGATGAAGTCATAGAGAAATAGGGATGGAGAATAGAGAAAGAAGAAAACCTAAGACAGAACCTTGGAGGTACGTCCATAGTTCAGGATAGGATGTGGATGTTAATCTAACGAAATAAACTGAAGGGGAGTGGTCAAGTAGTTAGTCAATAAGCATCTGTTCAGTGCCTGCTATGAATAAGAGCCACTCCCCAATTGATAAATGGTCAAAGGATATTAACAGTCAGTCTTCAGAAGAAGAAATCAAAGCTATCTAGTTATATGAAAAAAATCACTATTTATTAGAGAAATGTACATTAAAACAACTCTGAGGTACTACCTGATACCTATGAGGTTGGCTAAAATGACAGAAGAGGAAAATGGCAAATGCTGAAGGGAATTGAGAAAGTAGACACACTAATACATTATTGGTAGAATTGTGAATCAGTCCAACCATTTGGAGAACAATTTGTAGCTATAAAACTGTGCACATCCTTTGACCCAGCAATACCACTATTAGGTCTGTATCCCAAAGAAAGCAAAGAAAAAGAAAAAGTTCCTATATGTACAAAGATATTTAAAGCAGCTCTTTTTGTGGTGGCAAAGAATTGGAAATTTAGGTGATGCCCATCAGTTGGGGAATGGCTGAACAAGTTGTGGTATAATATGACTATGATGGAATACTATTGTGCTATAAGAAGTAATGAGGGAGATGATTTCAGAAAAACCAGGGAAGACTTATATGAGTTGATGCAGAGTAAAGTGAGTAGTACCATGAGATTGTACACAGTAACAGTAATATTGTAATGTTGATCAACTGAGGGAACCTTAGCTATGCTGATCAATTTTATTGTTGTTATTCAGTCCCTTCAGTTGTGCCTGACTCTTTGTAACCTTATTTGGGATTTTCTTGGCAAAGATACTGGAGTGGTTTGCCATTTCCTCCTCCAGCTCATTTTACAGATCAGGAAACTGAGGCAATCAGGGTTAAATTACTTGCCCAGAGTTACACAGCCAGTAAGTATCTGAGGCCAGATTTGAACTCCTGAAGATGAGTATTGCTGACTCAAGGTCTGGAACTCTACTCACTGAGCCACCTAGCGGCCCCACTATGATCAATACAATGATGCAAGACAATTCCAAAGGGGGTCTTTTTGGAGGCAATTAGGGTTAAATAACTTGTCCAGGGTTGCACAGCTAGTAAATGTCTGAGGCTGGCATTGAACTCAGGTCCTCCTGACACCTGGGCTGGTGCTCTACACACTGCACCACCTAGCTACCCCATTGGTGTTGCTTTATCAAAGATGGGGGAGACCTGGTCCTATTTGTAGGCTATGGGTAATGAGGCACTAAACAGAAAGAGAACGAATGTTAGAGACTGGGGATTATTTGTGGGGGCAAACTGCCAGAGGAGATAAGAGATAAGTGTACAAGGGTAAAAGTAGAGAAGGCCCATTTCTTTATCAGAGAGTAGAGTAATGAAAGAGAGATGAAGGATTATGTCAAAGAGTTTTTAAATATAGAGAAGGGGAGAAAAAGTAGCACATTGAAAATGGTTTCTATTTTCTCAGTTATGTATGAGGCTAGGTGCTCAGGTGAGAGGTTGAGAGAAGTGGGTGCTACTGGAAGATTGAAGAGAAAAGAGAACATTTTGAATACCCTCTATGGGGAAGAGAAAAGGATTGCCTTGCTTTAGTGAGGACCTGGTTGAGACTGGGCTACAGTTAGACGATGCAGTGGATAGAGTACCAGGCCTGGAGAGACTCATCTTCCTGAGTTCAAATCTGGCCTCAGACATTTCCTAGCTGTGTGACCCTGGGCAAGTCACTTTACCTTGTTTGCCTCAGTTTCCCCATCTGTAAAATGAGCTGGAGAAGGAAATGGCAACCACTGCCAAGAAAACGCCAATGAAGTCATGAAGAGTTTGAAATGACTGAACAACAATTGAGATTTGATAACATATACAAGCCTCTATTGGTTCTAGTGAACGTCAGGCTGAAATGTCAATCTTGGGTGGGGGAGAGGGAGAAACTGCCTCCAACTTTCATGGAGGAATGGGTGTCTCTCAACTTACTACTGCCCAAGAGCAGATCTCTCTTTTAAAACCTTAGCACTGATGCCCACCACTGGTTTGCAAATAAAAGTAAGATTACCTGCTCCTTTAGTATCCTGGGACACTTGCTTACTGGCTCATGTCTCAGAAGGAGTATGGCCCCAAATACTTTCTTTCTCACTTTATTGTGCTGGATTTACAATATTACTCAAACCCCTAACCAGTTTGCACTGAAAAAAATCCCTACTAGATTTATAAAACCTCAATACTTTAAATTTGCTTTCTTTTCAGGCATCCTTTCTCCATTTCTGATCTCACCCCTAGCATTCAAACAAGCAGAATTAGTACAAATTTGAGCAGCCATCTGGATTTTAACACGCCATCATACACATGCAAAAATGCTGAAGACAAATCTTTTGTAGAAATAGTAGTTCTGAAATTGGTGGCCACAGTGTACAAGACACGGTGGGGGAGGGGAGGGCCTGGAGATTAGGGAGAAGGTCTTTGGTTACTGTCTCCAAGTCGGATGGGAACAATAGCACAGAGTCGCTCCAGCTGTGGTTCTTAATTGCAGTGTCCTCAGTGCTCTAGCTGAGGACTCCTGTAGCTTGCTTCCAGCCTCCTGTGTACTTAAAATATCATCTGCTTTCTCCTCTATTTTTGCTTGTTTTGCTCTGTCTGTGTGTGTTTCACTTTCTTGGTTTGGTTCCCACCTCTTTGACCTACATACACTTTCTCCCAAGGTTAGAGTCAAAGGCATTCTGGGTAATTTCCCCTCAGGGAAAGTATGACATCCTCTTGGAAATTCTGGAAAGCAGACAGCAGGCAGCTCTGATGTTTTTGTCTCCCATTGCTCTGTTTCAAAACCTTTTGGCAGACTTCCAAAAGGTGGATTATGCATAATTTTGTGATGGACCCAGCTAGCATGGTTGTGTGGCTTCCTCCAGTTCCATTCAGCCCCATGTCAGAGTGATGGAGAGGAGGCAGATGGTGGGAGTCATCCAGGGCTGAGGCTTGGCAAGGCCCGAGCAATGATAGGATGAGGGACCAAGAAGGACAGTATGATGCTGAACTGTTCAACCATAGGGTCAAGACTAGATTGGCTACCCTGGAAGGTCCCTATTTAACACAGGGGTGGGTAACCCTAGAATATCAAAGAGGGGAAAGACCTTATGTAGTAGATAGAGTAGATGGCTACATGGCTCAGTGGAAAGAGTGCTGGGCCTGGAGCCAGGAAGATCTGAGTTCAAACCCAACCTTGCTAGCTGTGTGACCTTGGACAAGTCACTTGACCTCTGTTTGCCTTGATCTACTAGAGAAGGAAATGTCAAATCACTTCAGTATCTTTGCCAAGAAAGTCCCATGGACACTATGGTCTACAGGTTCATGAAGAATTGGACACTGAACAACAAATATATATATGATGCTGGATTTGGATCCTGCCTATAACACTTGCTCTGTGTGACCATGGCAAATACTCTAACCTTTCTTAAGTTCAGCTTCCTGATCGTAAGGTAAGGACAATGATATATGCAGTGTTTCCTCCCAGGTTTGCTGTAAGTCTCAAATGAAATGAGTGTGCAGAATACTTTGCAAACTTTAAAACACTAGAAAATGTCAGCTGTTAGCTATTTTCCCTTTCCTTTGTAGTTTTTACAGATGACAAAACTGAGGTTTAAGTGACTTGCCCAAAGCTGTACAGCTAGTTAGCTGAGAGCTGGGACCAGAAGCTGAATTTCTTAACCCTTATGTTCTCTGCATTCTGCAGGATTCGTGTGAGTCAGGATGGACAGTTTCTGCATTATATCTTCCCCTACCAGTTCATGGACTCCCCAGAGTGGGAATCATTGCAACCCTCTGAGGAAGGGATATTTCAGGTAAGTTGGAGACCCATTAGGATGGTTCCTACAGAATAACCTAAACTAATCTCTAGGTTGGTTGATTGGTTCTATGAATGAATGAATGAATGAATGAATGAAAAAGCATTTGTCATGCATTTACTAATGAGGGTACTGGACTTAGAGTCAGGAAGACCGAGGCTCCTATCTTGCCTTAGGCAGTGGATATCTGTGTGACCTCACGTGTGAGGATGGTAGATAGACATATATGATGGTAGCTAGGTGGTGCAGTGGAGAAAGCATTAGACTTGAAGCCCGGTAACCAACCTCACTTAACCTCTCTGTGCCTCAGTTTCCTCATCTTATAAAATGGGGATAATAACAGCATCTACCTCCCAGGATTGTTGTGAGGATCAAATGAGATATTTGTAAAGTGCTTTGTAAATCATAAATGTTGTCTTCTATGGGAAGCTTTTCTTGATCTCACCTCTCTTCTCCAGCTACTAGCTCTCCCCCACCATTACCGTGTATTTATTTTCTATAGAACATATAGCTGTATGTATTTTCTCCCCAATAGAATGTAAGTTCCTTGAGGGCAGGAGTTGTTTCATTTTTGTATTTGTATTCCCTGAATCTGATGTGGTGCCTGGCACAAAGTAGGTGCTTAATATATGTTTGTTGATTGATATAGAGGTAATTAAGACTTGATCCTTGTCCTCTCGGATAGCACTGTGAGAAAATGCTATCTCATTTGGTTTTCACTTGGGAAGTAGTTGTTATTATAATCTCCATTTTACAGGTGGGGCTTTGTATGGTAAAGTGATTTGCTCGGAGTTACAGAGCTAGTAAGTGTCTGAGGCAAGATTTGAACTCAGGTCTTCTTTAACAATCTAGTGCTCAATTTATTGTGCCACCTAGTTTCTATGACTACTGATGCTAGAGCAGCCTTTTGTTATCCCCAGATCTATCCCAGTGATGGTGGCAGCAGGTTGGTTGGCTGAAGAGACTGAGGAGCACTGTGGACCTCCGAGATACTGAGTCATGGAACCACCTTCTTCCCAGATAGCCCCTAGGTGCCTAGCATGTAGGAGCCAGCTGGGGTTTGTGGGGGCAAAACTGACTGTCATAAAGGTGATGTGATCCCAGTGGACTGAAAGCTCACTCATTCAACAAACATTTATTAAATGTAAATATTTACGATGTGAGTTTAAGAAGTAGAACGTACAGAGGAAAGTTTGGAATAAGACTTGGAATAAGAGGAGCTCAGTTTGAGTGCCAGATCCATCCCTTATTCGGCCATGATTGTGGGTTTAACCTCTCTGAGACTCAATTTTATTAACCTGCAAAATGAGGATGATAGTACCTGTGCTACTGACCTTACAGGGTTAAAAAAGGAGTGAAAGGAGAAGAAGTAGAGGTGATGAATGGAGATAGCTTGAGGAAATTATTTTAGAAGCTGAAAAACAATGTGGTATAGTGGAAAGCACACCGGTCTTAGAGTCAGAAGACCTGGGTTTGACTCCTAGCTCTTTGGTACTAGCTGTGTGACCCTGGTCAAGTCACTTAACCTCTATAAGCTACGATTTCCTTGTCTATCAGAGTATTGTCTTGTCTCTCCTTTTCACAACCAAACTTCTACAAAACATTACTTCTTCTCATTGCCTCCCCTTCCTCTCCTGTCCCTCACTTCTCAGCCCCTTGTAAAATGTTTTCCAGTTGTATAACTCAATTAAAAGGGCTCTCTTAATTTTTTTTTTTTGTGATTGAGTCTCCTTAATAAATGGAGCCAAGATGTTTGTGCAATAAACTTTTTTTTTATTTTTAAAATAAAAAAAGAGAGAGAGAGATTGCATTTCTCATCTTACCCAGGCCAAAGGTACAGTGGCAGGCCTGATTCCAATACTGGTCTGACATGGTCCATGTCTGACCTGGGTGCCTTTGCTCTCCTTACACAGCCTGGTGTTTCCCTCTCTCTCTCCTCCCCCCTTCTTGAGGGCTCACCATATTGATGCTGTTTTCATTCTTTGATCTCTCTGGGATATAGGCCTAATAGTGCTATCGTTGGGTCAAAAGCCATAGACAGTTTAGTGACTTTAGGAGCATAGTCCCAAATGACTTTCTAGAATGAGCTGAACAATTCGCAGCTCCATCAACCAAACATTAATACATTTAGTTTTTCAAAGCTCCTCTGTTTTTTGGGGGGATTTTTTGGGTCAACTTTGAAAATCTAATGGGTGTGTGATGGAACCTCAGAGTTTCCAAACTTCACTATTGCTGTTGAAATTACACCACCACCCTTCCAGTGTGCAGATTCACAACCTCAGAATCACCCTGGTCTCCTTCCACATTCCCAATCAGTTGCCAGATTTTGTTGTTACTACCTTGACAACTTCTATTTCATGTCTCCTCTCCCTTCTTTCAGCCACCACCCAAGTTCAGGCCCTCAACACCTCAATTATTCCAATAGTCTCCCAATTGGTCTTCCTACCTCAAATCTCTCCCCATTACAATCCATCCTCCATAGAGCTGCCAAAATGATTTCCCTAAAGCCCAGGTCTGATCATGTCACTCTCCTACTCAACAAATCCCAATGGTGTCCTGTTACCTCTAGGATTCAAAATAAACTCCTCTGTTGGGCATTTGAATTCCTTTGCAACTTGGTTCCAACCTACCACACCAACCCTCTTACATAAAATACTCCCATTCATGTCATCTTCAGTCCAGCCAAAATGTCCTTCTTACTCTTCTTCATGTACGATACTCTACCTCCCTTCTCCTTGCTTTGCATGGGCTATATCCTTTGCTCAGAATACACTTAGAATCTTAGAATCTCAAATTTATTTTTAAAATGCAGCTTAACTTATCTCCTACATGAAGCCTTTCCTGACCTGATGCCCCCTACCCAGCTGCTAGTGCCTTCTTCCCCCAAATTACCTATTATTATTACTCTATTATACATATGTGTGTGTGTGTGTGTGTGTGTGTGTGTGTGTGTGTATGTATTCATAGATGTGTGTTTTATTTTCTCAGAATGTAAACTCTTTGAAGTCAGGGACTATTTTGCTTTTCTCTTTGTGAACCCAACACCTAGCATTGTGCGTGGCATAAATGTTTGTTGATTAACTGATTGATCTATAAAAAGAAAATAATTCTTATGCTATTTGCCTTAAGGCTGTTGTTGTTAAGAAAGTCTTCTATAAAGTATGAAGTATTGTAACATATGAGCTATTATTAATGTATATGTCTGCTATATACAAGATGTTCAAGTTTTTAACATGGAAATGTGTTATATGACTATACATGTATAATCTATATCAAATTACTTGCCTTCATAATAATGGGGGTAGGGAAGGGAAGGAAGTAGAGAATTTAGAACTCAGAATTTAAAAAAATTATTAGAAATTGTTTTACATGTAATTGGGGGGAAATAAAATATTAACTTAAAAAAAGATGTTTAAAAAGTTTTTTAAAAAGATGTTAAGTCTTTGGAAGACTGGCTTAAACCTATTCACTTAGATAAAATGCCTCTGTTTCCCATGATGACACATATTTGCAAAGAGACTAGTCAGCAGTAAGGGCAATTCCCAGGACAAAGAATGTTATGCCCCTAGACAAGGTTTGAAATGTGTTTTTTCTTGTTCAGTCATTTCAGTCATGTCCAACTCTTCCTGACCCCATTTGGGGTTTTCTTGGCAAAGATACCAAAGTGGTTTGCCATTTCCTTCTCATTTTACAAATGAGGAAACTGAGGCAAACAGGGTTGAGTGGCTTGCCCAGGGTCACAGAGCTAATAAGTGTCTGAGGTCAGGTTTCACCTCAAGAAGATGAGTCTTCCTGACTCCAGGCTCAGCACCCTATCCACTGAGCCATCTATTTGCCCATTGAAACATATGTCTCCTGTATATTATTGGACTAAAAGCTTTGAGCCTTTGCGGTATCACATGTAACTTGACAACACAAATCAAGTCAGGCACTATATAAATGCTAATTCTTTCTCCCTCTTCACCAAGAATTTATTGCCTGCTCTATGCCAGGCCCTATGTTAATTGCTAGAAATACAAAGAAGTCAAAATGTAGTCTAACTGGGGAGATAACATGCAAATAACTTTGTACAAATAAGATATATACAGAATTACTTAGAGGGAACAGAGGGGAGTCAACAGAGGGAAGGTACTAGCATTAAGGGGGATTAAGGAAAGGCTTCTTAGAGAAGTTAGGATTTTTGCTGGCATTTAAAGCCAGCCAAGAGGTAGAGGTGAAAAAGGAAGACCGTTCTAGGCATGACGGACAAGAAGGGAAAATGACTGGAGTCAGGAAATGGTGTAATATGTTTGAAGAGGAGGCTAGAGTCACTGAATTGCAGAGTACTTTGAGGGCAGTAAGGTATAAGAAGACTGGAAAGATAGGAAGGAATTGGTTATCAAGAGCGTTAAAAGACAAACAGAATTTTATATTTGATAATAAGGAGCCAGTCGAGTTTATCGATGGGAGAGTGGCATGGTCAGACCTGCACTTTAGGAAGATCTCTTTGACAGCTGAGTGGAGGATGGACTGAGTGGGGAGAGACTTTGCAGCAAGACTAACCAGAAGGCTCTTGCAATAGTGCAGGCGTGATGAGGTCCTGCACCAGCCCGATGGCAGTGTCAGAGGAAAGCTTTGTATAGATTTGTTTAGATGTTGTCCCCCCATTAGATAGTAAACTCCTTGAGGGCAGGTGCTATCTTTGGCTTCTTTGTATCTCCAACACTTTGAACAGTGCGGGGCACCTAATAAATTTTAAGACCATGGGGAAATTAATTCAGCACATATGATCTTTACCTAAAATAATTTACTAATCGCCTAATTGTCAATGGTACCAGGAGATCCGTAGCCTAATGTTCCTCTTGCAACATCTACCCTCAGGTCACCCTGACTGCTGAGACAGACTGCACCTACGTTTCCTGGCCGCGGAAGCCCCTCTACCACCTCTTGGACAAAGAGCGCTACATCTCCCGCCTTTTCGCAGCCCTGCTGGGCTTCGACATCTCAGAGAAGCTGTATGCCCTCAACGACAAGCTCTTTGCCAAGTTTGGCCTGCGTTTTGACATCCGTCTCCCCAGCCTCTATCACGTCCTAAGATCTGCTTCCTCCTCCTCAGAGCCCGAAGCGGAGAAGGAAGCTGAGGAAAGCAAGGACCCAGCCCTCCCTCCTCACCCTCTGTCCGTGGCGGTTCAGAAAGCTGCCCCACTCCCTTCTCCTCCAGTCCCTGCTGCCCCCGCTGCACTCCTGCCCCGGCCAGGGCATCTCGACTTGGCAGTGATACCCTGGGTGAGGACTCTACCAGTCTTGTGTTGGAAGATTTTGCAGAGTTGCCAGGATCGTTTATGGATTATGGGAGTGAAGGGGAGTATATGAGATGAGGGAAGTTTTAACATGGGCCACAGCCATCTGGTTTAAGACCCCCGTGTAAGTACATGCCTGCCCAAGGAAGGGGGCACTCCTAACCATGCCTGTGGTTTGCAGATGGCTGATGCATGCATTTTTGAAGAGCTTAGCGTTAATTTTGCTTTCATGGACCAGACCCAAATGATCTAAAAGGTCCTTTCCCTTAGAGATTCTAGTGTCAGAATGGACTCTGTAATTGAGAAACTGTAACCCAACTTTGCATATAGTAATGTACTCATAATGTATGCCATATGGATGTTCAGTAATGTATCTTCCTGAAAGAACCAAATATATTTACATATACATATACACACATACATATATCATACATTTGTATATTTAATATGCATGTAATTTAGAAGTATGCATGTGTATGTATATATGTACATGTAAATATGTGTATATGTGGTGTGCATGTAAAATATGTGTATGTAATTTACAGTATGGCAAATATATATATTTATCTATAAATATATATACTTATACATTTGCCATAGTCTGTATGTATGTAATTTATAAGTATGTATATGTATAATATTTATATATATATAAAATATATGTCTATATGTGTGTAATTTATAGTGTGATATGGTGTAAATATATTTATATGTATACACATAATTTATGTATTCCGTATGTGTGTAATTTATATGTATATAAATGTATGTGATTTATCTGTGCGTAATATACATCTTTGTGTGTTTATATGTATGTAAATATGTGTATGTATGTCTGTAATTTATAGTGTGGTACGTAGATAGAGATCAGGTCTTGGAGCCAGGGAGACCTGGTATAAGTCCTGTCTCTGACTGTGTGACCTCAGTCAAGTCATGTAACCTCTGAGTTATCTAGGTCACTAAGACTATATGCTACAAAAGACAGTCCTGACCCACATTTGTCTCTCCACCACTGAAATTGCTGGTCCACCTCTCCCATCCTTGTTTGTATAATATGGACTGGCTAATCACTTGTATGGGCTGGCAGATTGCTCTCCCTGGTTTGCAAAGTTGTGCTAAGTACTAGATGCTGCTAGAGCTGAAGTGAATTTCATTGCGGCATTAGTTTAACCGGAAAAGGTGACCACATTAATTCTAAGCAGGCTGTCTTCTTGGCCTTTAGTCAGTACTGGAAATATGCTAGAAGTCCCTTGGGCTAAGGGCTGGGAGGAGGTAGGTGCTCTCTGTAACTGGGAAATGCCCATCCCACAGATGATCCAAAATGCTGGACTAATTTACTGTCAAAGAATAGAGTGGAGGCTCTGTGAACCATTGCATTCGGGAAGGAAGCAGACACCACCCTGACCAGATCCTGTTGTTAGCTGACTGAGGTGGGTGCCAGAAGACGGCATTCCCCTGAAAACCACACCTATCAAGGTGGCCCAACTGTACTTCCTCAAATGAATCTCATAATGCCTGGGACTGCTCATGGGATTTCCTCTCCTAGTAGGGGACAGTGCCCAAAAAGCTCCCATTGAACGAATTCCAGAGACTTGTTGGCATATTTTCCCACAGTGGTCTTTCACAAGGCTACAATACTTCCCCAAGGGATGCTACCTAATCATGGCCAGACCTTGCATGAGTCTTCCTGAGGAAAATCCCATTGCATTTGATGGAGAACATCTCCCAGGAAGACACTTCTGAGCAAAAAATGCAGAATCACAAAAGGCTAGTAGGGACTTTGGTGACAATCCAATCCAGCCCTCTTATATTAATAACGAGGAAACTGAGGACCGGTAAAATTGGTCCAGGGTCACATCGGACTCCTCATTGCCCGTTGCTAGGACTGTCCTAGTAAATGTTTAATAATTGGCTGGGGGAGAGCTGGGGAGGAAATGATCCTTAGGAAGCAAGATACACTTTTAAGTTTAATTTGGACTACTAACATTTTCCATCAATTTCTTAAGTCTAGACAATAAAATCAACAAAACAATAAATCAAGCCCTGATTTGCAGCATTTGCTAATTTCTAAGGTGTAAATGCTCCCACTGAAAATTTAATGATAAGCTCTTTTGAACTCTCACATCCCACTCTTACCCATTACTGCCTATGGCCTTGTCTAAACAAATTTCTCTACCTAGCTCTCCAGGCCCCTCCCTTAGCTAGCCCCACCCGGCATATCCAGCCTCACTTCGTATTAATCACCAGTACACATCTTCCATTCTAGTCAAGCTAGCTCAAGGTCACCTCCACCTCTATCTTTCACTCTCCTAATTCCCTTCACTTGGAATACTCCCCCCTCCAGTTACAAAAATGTTGTCCACCCACTTCTCTGCTCAAAAAGAGGACCGTGAGGGATGTTTCTCCAGATGCAAGGCTTCAAAATGAGAACAGCATAATATCTATGACTGTACCACAAAGATTATTGAATGATTGCAATGACTGCACATTTTGGAAGAAAATTATATAAGTAATGATCATTATAGCTGTTAATTATTGTAGAACGAGCAGGAAAATTATAGAGGAGAGGCAGAGTGAAAAAAGTGGTTTGGAGCCATAGGGCCTGAGTTCAAGCCTCAGCCTGACTATTTACTGGCTGTGTAACCCCAGGCAAATCACTTAACCTCTCTGGATCACTGGCAAAATGAGAGTTTTGGACTAGGTATCTTCAAAGTTCCTTAAAGCCCTTAAACGATGAGGTTGGTTTTGTAGATGTAAACTGCATCTCTCAAAGCAGTGTGTACCACTAGAGAGCTAGAGGTAACACGTCTGGTTCAGCAGCAGGTCCTGAAGCCTGTTGTCATTTCCCGGGCTGCCTTAGACCCACCCAGATGCTCTCTCTCCCATCCTCCCATTCTGTTCATGCTCGACCTTTCTGGTTGTTCTTCTCTGTCACCTTTCTATGGCGACCATGTTGTCTTCTAAAGCAAGAATGGTGAGGTAGAAAGAACATTGGATTTGTAGTCAGGAGAACTAGGGACAAGCACTGCTACTTCCAACTGCGTGGATTGAAGCAAGTCATTTTTTTAAAGAGTTAACCTTTTTTTAGGCCTCAGGTTCTTTCTTTTGAGTATAAGGGTACCAGACTGGTTAGCTTCTCAAGACTTCTTCAGCTTTAAAATTCAAGTATTCCTTTGAATCGGGAAGGGATAGTCATTATAAAGATTTCTGGGTGATGGAATGCTGGGATTGGAGTCAGGAAGACTTGAGTTCAAATCCTGCCTCAGACACTTACTAGCTGTGTGACCCTAGGCAAGTCATTTAACCACTCTCAGCCTTAGTTTCCTCATCTTTAAAATGGGGATAATAATAGAACTCATCTCACGGGATTGTTAAGAGGATCAAATGAAATAATATGTATAAAGTGTTCTGAAAACCTTAAAGTACTAAATACATACTATCAATATAATATATAATAGCATATAATTGTTATTATTATATATATATTATTAATATACAACTAATATAATATATGATTACATATTATATTATTAATATACTACTAGCACAACACATATTATTAATATACCATTGACATAATGCATAATATTATGTATTATTCATATACTACTAGCATAATACATATTATATATTATTAATATGCTATTAAAATAATCATTGTCATAATGTTATATATTATTAATATACCATTAATATGATATATACAATTAATATAATATAACTATTATAATTGCTTCAATTTTATAAGAGCAAGTACACAGAATACTTAGGTGCTTTTTCTGTTTCTTACAGTGATTCATTCAGTGGCTGAGCTTGGGCTAGCATAGGGTTTTTCTCCATTACAACGTGCTGTTCTTCATGTCACTAAATATGATCTAGTGACCTTGGAATGTCTCCCTCCCCTGGTGACTGGGATTCCCAATCATCCTGCACCTGTTAGGATCATTTTACAGTTGATTCAAACTTAGGAGTCCTTAGGGCTTCCTGACATCTACTAAGGTTTCTGAAACAAAGCCTTAAAGTCCCCAGTTGTGCCCTGTCACTAATACTTTCTTGTCTAAAGTTTTCTTTTCCATATTTATCCTTTTCTACAGCTTAAGAAGAAGTAACAACCAACGCTACCACACATAGCTCTAGGGACATACACTGCTATGTGATATGCATGTGGTATCTACAAAACAACATTCAGAACTTTGGAGCTTGAAGGGAGGTCAGGGGTCATGTTGTCCTATTCATTCATGTTACAGTTTGGGAAACAGACCAGATAGGAAGCTGCTAATAGTATTTCTGACAACTTTATTCACGTTTTGAACTTTCTCTGTTAGTACACAAATATGAGAAGGCCATTGTAAATCAGTACCCACAAGAGGGAGACCAAAAGAGCCTACAACATAAATAAGACCCTCCAAATTAAATCACCATATACTTTAATACTTTGTGACTTTAATACTAAGGTGGACATTGAAGGTCTGTGTGTGTGTGTGTGTGTGTGTGTGTATACACACATAGATTTGTGTATGTGTATACGTATACATATCTATTGTACATACATACATATCTATGTGTGTATATATTATATTATATTCATAATATTATATATAATATATTTATCATTATACATATCTATATGTATACATATATACATATCTATGCATGTATATTTATGCTATATAACATATATTTATCAATGCCTGTGTCAATATGTGTACATATAGATATGTATGTATTCATGTAATATATAATATATTTTATATGTATAATACATATATCTATGTGTGTATGTAACATGTGCACATGTATACACACACACATAAATATAGTTTAGGAGTAAGAAACAAGATAGGCCAAAAGCTTATCATACTTTCTTCAAGAAAAGCGGTAAGACATTCCAGAAAATAACATCATAAATAATGAAATTGATTATGATTTAACAGAGAGGAAATGTCTAGTTACTGATGAAGGAATCATCTCCAAATCAGCTATCTGTGTATAGTCAGACCACTAACCTGCTAGAACAAAGGCAAAAAAAATCAATACCAAATCAAAAGAAAGAATAAAAATAAGAAATTATGGTCTCCAAGTTAGGTAACTAAAATCTGGAGATGGATAATTGACAAATGGAAATGGAAAATGGATAAAAGAGCAGACATTTATATAGATTTTCAACATTTCTTAAAGAATTTTAACCCATGTAAAGCTGTTCCAAACATAAGGATAACAGAAGAGCCTGGAAACTGCCTTAGTCAGAAAAAAATTATCTCCCTGACAAGCAGAGAAGTATGGTAGACAAGGGCAACACTGGCTTACAGTATAAACTTATTTGTGAAATCTTACCGAAGAGGATGATAGAAGATTATGAATAATACCATCTCACAAATCACAGAGAAACAGTAAAGAGAAAAACAGGTTTACAGAAAGTTTGCTATGGGGCCCAATAAAACCAGATAATCCTAAGAGCATTTAAGGATGAAAGTGGAGGGACAATAAATGGATGAAAAAATGGGGGAAAAATCTGTAAAGATTGCTGTAACAAACTCCCTTCTCCATCAATGACAGTAAACCCACCACGTTTACATTCTAATTTCATAGACTTTCACACATTGCTTGAGGAAGTAGAAATGACACTAACGAAAACAGAGATGGAAATAGCACCATGCCTAAGTACCTGATCATAAAGGAAACCCATGCCGGATGTAACAATATTGAGGACATTAAGAGATCAATTCTTCAGATATCTAAAAAGAGAGGAAAATGCCAAACGTTTGAGGGGGAAATACAGGTCTTATTTTAAAAAAAAGAAAAAAAGATGACTAAGAAAATATTCACAACTGCTCACTCATATGTCTATTTACCCATCTCTACAAAATCTTTATAAGGCAAATTAATATAAGCACAGAAAGTATCTTTAATAATCTTGATTTTAGTACCAGATAGGACTTAATTTGAGAAGAGAATAGTCAGGCTTTTGAAAACTATATCATACATAGCAGAGCACATCTTTAGCTGTACACTATTGACAGAAAGGTCTAAAAAAATTGTGCTGTTCGTTGACTCTCAAAATGAATTTGATTTGGAACTACCTTAAAAGACTCTTCTCCAAAATGATTCCTCCAATGTATATTGTCAAAGTGACATGATTGCTTGAAAGCTATCATGACATATCTGTTTGATGATCCCCTGGTTATTAATATCAAGTGATATGTAAAACAGGGTGGTATGTTTGCCAAAAGTGTTTACCACTCAACTTTGCAGGATATACAGCACAGAATACTAACAGATGAAGGATTCCCTGTAGGTAGAGGGGTTCGCCAGATGTTCTTTTTTTTTTTTGTCTAGGCTATGGGGTTAAGTGACTTGCCCAGGGTCACACAGCTAGTAAGTGTTATGTGTCTGAGGACGGATTTGAACTCAGGTCCTCTGAATCCAGGGCCAGTGCTCTATAGATGTTCTTTTTTGTAGATATCATGGCTGATTACTTTGAGCCCCAGAATATTGCAGAGCAATCCTAAATAAAGTGAAAAGAATTTGTTCTATCTTCATAGGAAAAAACGAAATATGTGAAAGAATGCTTACTGTCTGATAGTAATAGTAATAACTAGCATTTGTGTAGTATTTATTTAAGGTTTGCAAAGTGCTTTACAAATATTATCTAATTTGATCCTCAAAACAATCCTGGGAGGTAGATGCTATTATTATCTCCATTTTACAGATGAGGAAACTGACACTGAATGTGGTGAAGTGCCTTGCCTGGGTTACATAGCTATTAAGTATCTGAGGCAGGATTGGAACTTGGCTGTAGACTATAATTTTTGATTGACTGGATAATCCATAGAGGTGGTTCAAAAATACTTATGTCTTAGATACTTTGAACAGTGAGTTGGTATCACAATTCAGAAGGAAAAACATGGTCATACTTACTTCGGAAAATTGCAAAGTGCTTTTAATGACCATGAGCTTGTCACTGAAAAAAGAGGTTGATCCTTTTTAAACATAAATATGCTTCCAAAGATACAGTATAGCTGCATGTCATGTAATATCAGAGCCTAAAGAATTAAGTTGTAAAATAAAGAGAACTTAAGAAGTGAGCCAAAGGCATCACCTATTCTCACCCTTTTATTTTATAGATGATGAAAATACAGCTCTGATAAAAGAAGTGAATTTTTAAAAAAAGTTTTGTTGGTACTTTTTCCTATATCACTGTCACTTCTTACTGCCTCTCTTCTTCTGCTCCCCATCTCCAGATCCCTCCCATGGATCATATTTTCCTCATTCCACACCTCTCTTCTAAGAAGTAGGGGATATACTTCTCCATTGGTCTTCTGAAAGGGAGTAGGGGTAGACAGGAAGAGAATAAGCATATATATAATGTGTGTATGTGTGTGTGTGTGCATATATATATATATATATATATACATATATATATATATCATCTACTATGTGACAGGTGCTTTGCTAAGCACTTTTTACAAATATGATCTCATTTGATTCTTACAATAACAGATATGTGCTATTTTTATCCCCATTTTACAGTTGAAGAAATTGAGGCATGGGGAAATTAAATGACTTGCCCAGGGTCACACCGCTATTAAGGAGCTAAGGCTGAATTTGAACTCAAGTCTTCCTGATTCCAGGCTCAGTTCTCTGTCCACTGCACCACCAGCTTCCTCTGAAGGCATGATGGGTCACTGCATAAATCGGAATTCTGAAGCCTTTCAATATTATTTTCCTTTATATCACTTTAGTCATCACATCAGTCAGTCTCCTTATCCTACTTAATGTGGCAATTTTTCCAAGGTGACACAGCTGGTTTGTGGTTCATCCAGGACTCTATAACTGAGTGCTCCCAAATTGCCAGCCTTTGCCCAAGCGCCTATCATGATGCTTTCTATAATGGGGCGAAGGGGTAGAATCTATAGAATTTGGTGGCTAATTGGAGATGTGAGGTTAAGGAACCAAAGATGAATCTGAAGGTCTCTAGCCTGGTCAAGCTGGGAGGATGGTGGCACCATTAATTGAAATAGGGAAGTCAGAAAGAAGTTTTAGGGGAGAGATGAAGTTCAGTTTGGAACAGCCTGAGGAAAATCTAGCTGCCCTAGCCCCATCTTATTGTGAAGGAAGAGAACTTAGTCCATTTACCAAGGATATTGGAGAAGGAGAAGTGAGAGGTCCAGGGGAGCTAAAAATGGATAATCAGCCCCCAAATTACCCAAAGTTTACTGCACGGTCCAAATATCTGTTCCTTAGCAGGAAAAAAAACAACCTTGGATACCACCAAATAGGATTTGAAACCACTACATTTAGTTATGGTTCTATGAGCTATTTTACTAGCTAGAGACGTTATATCTGCAATGCTTTTCTCACCAATTTACTTTAAGACTGTTACAACTTGGACAACTGAGGTAGGAAATAGAAAGCCAAGTCAAGTACTTCCACATCATGGGGGTTAAGGGCCTGGTGCCTCTGAGATCTGGAAAATCCGAGTAAAATTTTTTGGCCCTCACTTATACCAGAGAAGAAGTCTGAATGTTTTCTTTTTCTTTTACAGGTGTTTACAGTATTAAAGATAAAATATTTTGATATATATATTACTACACATATATTTTAGGCATTTCTGAATTTCTAAACTTTTACTGTGTCATCTGCCGGCTTTCATGTGTTTTGTCTGTGGCTTCCAGTAAACTCTCCCCAAAATTTCCATGTAATTTCTTATGCTGGCTTGCAATATATCGAAATCATAATAGGAAAAGTCTCCATGTGGAAGGGATAACCGTCTATACAAAAGCTAGCAAAGGCTCCAGCTGGAGCTTGCCAAACTATTGGGAATCACGCTTCTGTATCTGTTTTTTCTTCTCTCTCCCTCCAGCTTCTGCAAGTCCTCTTAGGAGTCATCCTCAAATTCAAGCCAAAAGCTCAAAGGGACAGGCCCCTTTGGCTCCAACACACACCCCTGAACTCTAGGGATCAACTGGTAACTCTTGTTGGGATGATCAGCTCCACTCTCTGCACAAGCTTGTATTCTTAAAGAGGCCGCAAATGAACTTGACCTGAATTTTCATGCACCAGGCTCCTCGCCTGCACCTGCAATTGGGACACACAAAACCCCTGTACCTGCGTGACACCACGGTGCTCTCCATGTGTGCCATTTTGTATTTTCCCCACTTCTTCCCTCTGGGTCATTTAATTAAAATGCCTAGAAAGTACCATGTGATTAAGCTGTCTAAGAAGTCCTGATCCATGTTTCTTTTTCATTCAGTGGCACTGTCGTGGCTTGCTGTCTAACTTTGTGCAAATCACCTGATCTTTCTAGGCCAACCAATAAAATAAGTGAGTTGGATTGATCTATATGCAAAGCCTCTGTAACCCAGGGGTGGGGGAATCTACAGCTTTATGGCTGTAGTAAGGCCCTTTGACTGAATCCAAACTTCATCGAACAGGATTCAGTCACAGAGTCGAATTTGAGGACCTAGAGGGCCACATGTGGCCTTGAAGCCACAGGTTCCCCACCCTTAGACATGATTCTTGGATTTAGAGAGGGAAAGAAGAAAGAAAATAAGCGTTTATGAATAGCTATTATGTGGAGGCAGCTAGGTGGCTCAATGGATAGCACACAAGGCCTGGAGTCAGGAAGACCTGAGTTCAAATCCAGCCTCAGATACTCACTAGCTGTGTGACCATGGGCAAGTCACTTAGCCTCTGTTTGCCTTAACCCACTGGAGAAGGAAAGGACAAATCATCCTGTATCTTTGCAAAAAAAAATCTTAAACAGGGTCATGAAAAGTCAGATCCTATTGAATGACCACAACACTGTGTGCCAGGTACTGTGCAAAGTGCTTTATAAATATTATTTCATTTGATCCTCACAACAACCCTGAGATGAAGGTGCTATTATTTTCTGCATTTTACAGTTGAGGAAACTGAGGCAGACAGTGAGTGGTTAAGTGACTTAGCCAGGGTCACATAGCTAGGAAGTGTCTGAGCCACATTCAGACTCAGGTCTTCCTGACTCCAGGCTTGGCCATCTATCTAATGAACCACCTACAGTTAGAGGCAGGGAGTAGAGAGAAAAGAGTAGCATACCATGGGGCTTTTATTGGTAAGGAAGCAGAGTGAGGCTAGTTAGGAACTAAAGGGAGCTGTGGCTGTTGGGAGGAGAAGCTACCAACCTGACGGCTTCATATTTTAACCAATTCTACATGTTAACTAAGCATTAAGCTTAGTTTTAAAGCTGCTTAAGGTCTAAAAGTGCTGACAGTGCCCTCCTCTAAATTTCAGCATCCAGGGGCAAAGTCCCATTTGTCTGGTCTTAGTTTTGGTCAGAAAGCAGGTAAGGAGTAGGGAAGCTCTGCTCTATGATGTCATAGATTTCAAGTGCCATCTGAAAGTGAGGTGGTGGGACTCTGCAATAGGATGTTGAGAAGTAACTAAGGCTGTGGACAGTGGAGTCACAGTTAAATAGGGCACAGAGAGTACACCAAAGAAAAACTCCCCCAGCTTCATAATATGTCCCAGCTTTGGCCATACCAATATCACCTTTGTCATATGTTACAGTTTGCCAATCCCTGGGTTTAGGAAATGATCATAGCAGCACATGTGGGTAGTCACTGTTGTATATATATTTTGAAGAATAATTTCTTCAATATATGGCCCAAAACATGTATTCTAAATCTGGTCCAAATACTGGCTGTTTATTCATCCATTCAGTAGATATATATTAAGCATCTCCTATATCCAAACTACTGTAGTATATGCAAAGAATTACCTTTCACAGAGCTTTTAAAGAAGGATCAAAATTAGGCACAGATGACTTCAATATAAGTTCATACTATGAATCATGTAGAAACAAGATGCTATATTGGAGTTCAATGGAGGGAGGGATTATTTTCATCTGGTATGGTCACAGGGAAATCTTTATGGAAGAGGTGGCATTTGAGTTGGGACTTGAAGTATTGGGAAAATGTTTGGTGGTCAAAGATGGGGCAGGATGAGACAGGAAACTGCATGATCAAAGACCTTAGAAGTGGCATAGAAAATTCAGAGCATGGTAAATTGTGTGATTTAGGTGGAACCTAGAATTCAGTAGAGTAATAGTGGGAGATAAGGATGGAAAGATAAGGTGGAATAATTTTGTGTTAAGCCTTGAATACAAAGTAAGGCATTTGACCTTATTGTGAGAGGGCAATGGGGAGCCATTGAAGGTTTTGGGGCAGTAGAGTGCCACGATCAAAGTGATACTTTCAAAAGTTTGTGCCAATGAGTTTAAATTAAATGGAGGGGAAAGACTGAAGGCAAGAAGACTAATTGGGGCACTTATAATGAGGCTCCAGTCTTCCAGGACAGAAGCAATAAAGGTCTAGGAAGGATGGCAGTGGGAATGAAAAAGAGGGGAGCAGTCCTGAGTACACTGTGAAATTAATTTGGTGTAGTTAAAAGAGAACTGATGTTAGAAACAGAAGCCCTGAGTTCACCTCCTGACTCTTAAACTTTGTAAGCGTGCTTAGATGGGCAAATAATTCACCCCTCTGAGCTTCCGTTCCCTCGATTATAAAATGGAGATAATTTAATGTGAATTGGTACTTCATAGGGTTACTATGGGTGTGGTAGAGTTTTGTAAACCCTAAAGTGCTATATAAAAGTGACCTATTAAGAATCTATAGGTCTAGGAATCTGATTGGATGTGGAAGAAAGGGGGGAAGAGTAAAAGATGACTCAAACTATGAGTCTTTACTTTTTATGCCATGTGTTATTGCTTCCTATAGAGTCCCACATATATTCAGAGGGCTGGTGAATAGTGAATGGACTCTCAACAGTCTTTCTAGCTATTAGCAAATAGGAAGTCTGTTGCAGAGACTTGTATACTCACACACCTGTAATTTGACTACAGTGTCTTAAACATAGTAGAAATTTTAAAAATGGTTTTTTTGGGTATTAAGTTGAGTTGAATAGGATTTTGATAATATTATCTCTCAGGTCCTGAAAATAAATTTATGCTTTTTACTAACATAAAGTCCTACCTCATCCTCATGTGGAAGTGAGGTATTCTTCTACCAATTAAGAAAGGCTGAAGGTTAAAAGGACTCGATGGCTATTGTCTAAGGACAATAAGGCTAGAAAAAGGCTAGAAAATCCAGAGGAAGACAGACATCTTCCTGTGGGTAAAGCAATTTGTGAATAGCTGTCTGCTATCATTGATGCCCACCCTACCACTTTCCCTGCAGCTATAAAGGAGTAGTCAGGATATCTCTCAACCGCTGGGTGAGGGGTAGAGGAGTAGGCACAGAAAACCAGTCCAAGAGGTTATTGAAATGGTGACGTGGAGACTGAGAGTGAGAAATCATTGGCTGCATGTGTATAGAGTGGTGAGTGTCAGAAGAAAGGAAGACTCTCTTAGCAGGGAACCCACTTAGTAACTGGCAGAACCAGCATGGCTCTGAGAGTGGTTCCATGGAGCCAATTTTGTGTTGAATTTGGCACCAAGGTGTCACTAGACAATTGAGTCAGGAAGATCAAAGTTCAACTCCTTACTTACATGCTCTGTGACCTTGGGCAAGATATAACCTCTGTCTGCCTCTGTTTCTCCATCCGGAAAGTATAGATAATAATAGCACCTACCTTCAGATAAAATGAGATAATATTTGTAAAATGTTTTGCAAACCTTAAAGTACATGAAAATGCTGGTTATTATTGATGATTATAATTTGGGGAAAGAGTTATAGATTGGCCCCATGTCTATAGTTCTACCAGAAGATCAAAGAAGATCCTAGTGCAGTGATCCCAAGAGGGGAACTGGAGACTTGGTCTCTTATTGTACACCTGGAGAGTGTTTTTGAGGCCCTGGAATCTCCACAGGGACTAGAGAATGAGAAGGGAAAAGTCAAGAGGTACGGAATTTAGAGAATGCTTGAAATGATTTATGAGAGTATCTTGGTCCATAGTATCACCCTAGCTATGTTTGGAATGGTTCACTGACAGAGGACAAATGGTCACTGACCACCAGGCAATGACATTTTTTTTTTTGGCCATAACAGCTCACAGAGTTCATTGACTAAAGCAAAGAACAGTTTCAATGTCTATCAGTGGTGCTAGTACCAACAGACAAAATCATAGAAATAATGTCAGATTTACATATTGTTTCAAAGTTTGCCAAATGCTTTCCTCATTATAACTAATGTGAGGTAGGTAGTTTAGGAATCATTATTCCCACTTTAAAGATAAAGTAAAGCAATTTACCCATTGTCACACAGCTAGCTAATGAAAGGTCAGAGATAGGCTTTGATTCCAAGTCTCCAAGTCCAGAACTGTGATCACTCTGCCACAACACCATGAAGACAATAGACATAGAGATACTCAAGCTTTAGTACTAGGACCCACAGTGGCAATGGGCTAAGAAAAGGATGTAATTGCCACTGAGGAACGCTAGGAAAAGTGGGCTCCTTTCAAACTTGCAGCCTCTCAGTCTCTTTTCAGTTCTAAGTTGGAACTATGAAATATCATCTGTTGGCCACACCAGCCATTCTTGCTCCTGATTTTTCTGCAGGTCAGACTCCCAGAAGGGAACATTGTGTTGTGATAATGCAAGCTGAGGGCAAACGACAGAGAGACAGAGAGACAGACAGAGACAGAGAGACAGAGAGGAAAAAAAATATATATATATATATATATAGAGAGAGAGAGAGAGAGAGACAGAGAGAAACAGAGAGAATGGCTGACCTAGGAGGGAAACAAGGAGAGATTTAAAGCCAGACATATTATTCAACTGAATGAATATGGATCCTACAACCTCACTGTGCATCTGTAATTTACCTGTTTGTATCACCAAGATTCTATCTATGATCTATAGAAAATAAACTATTCTCTATAAAAACATTTTTTAAAAGTCACTACTGGAGGATTTCTTTCCCAGAGGCCCCTTTTCAAGTATTCAATGGCAGGATAGTCTTTCTCCTCTCTTTTCTTCTCCTGCAATATTCTTCCCTTTAAGGCCCTCAGTCATTTAAAACACAAAACAACTTTCCTCCATCTCAGGGTACAGAACACCAAACTGAGTAAGTTACTGGAACAAGGTATCTCATGACTCACTGGCCTCTCAATCCAGCTTGACATAAAACAGGGCTTTACAGGCACCTCTAGTTCTCTTTCCCGGTTCCTCTTTTTCCTTTTTTCCTTTCAGTTCAAGTCAGGGCCCTTTCCGTTTCATTTTGGGTCCCTTATTACT